TTTTTTATTTCTTGATATATTTTTTTTCTTGATTTTTAAAAGTTTATAATCTTTTAAAAGTGATAAATTTTGATTTTTCTATTTCTTTTATACTTGACAAGAAATTATTATACTATTATTAAATTATAATATATTTTTTTAATTTGAAAGAATTTAATATTCAAAAAAAATAAAACTTAATCTATATTAGAGAAAAAAATAAAAATAAATTCAAATTAAATAATTAAATTATATTTCTTTTTTTTGCAACTTGCTTAATACTCATAACTTTATAAAAATTATTATTTTATTCTTGTCAAAGATAATTTACTGATATAATAAATATCATATTTATATCTAAAAAATTTTATTTAGTATAATATTTAAAAGTAAAAGAAGAAAATAATAAAAAAAATTAGGATTAATAATAATAAAAAATAAAAAAATATAATATATACATATTTATTTATATTATTATATATGGAAATTAAATATTACTTTTTGTGATAACTATATATATATAATCATTACAAAAAGTAGTATCTAATTTTTTTAAAAAATAAAAGTTTGAATTTATTTTATTTTTGTCTTATGAATACAAAAATCTTTTTTATCACTAACTAATATATTATTAGCTCTTCATATAGCTCTAATATCACTTTGATTTCTAAAGATATTGAGTTTTTAACCTCCTAAAAATGCCAACATATTGAATTTTCTTCATATAGCTCTAATATCACTTTGATTTCTGAAGATCTTGAGTCTCTAACCTCCTAAAAAGCCAATATATTGAATTTTCTTCAGAGTAGTCTTGAGCTTTTTTATGATTCTTGGAAAACTTACAAATTTTAAAATATTATTCTCAATAACTTGGAGATATTTCTATGAAGTTTGGATCATGAGAACACAACATTCATTGATTTCTCTATTTGATAACTTCTTTTTCTAATTTAAATCAAGTTTTATTTTTTTGAAACATCATGTTCTCTCAGATTAATAAACAAATTATATTATAAAGATGGACCAAATTATCTTAGAGAACCTTTAGATAAGACTTTGCACAAATTTTTTATTATTAATGTTATGAAATGGCTCAGGATGTCTTTTTTTGCTTCTTGTATAGGTGCATTTTTTTCTTGATTTTTAAAAGCCTATGGTCTTCCAGACAGTGGTAAATTTTGCTTTTCCTGTTTCTTTTGTACTTGGCAAGAAATCATTATACTCTTACTGGGTTCCGTTACATTTTTCCTGCAACTTGCTTGGCACTCGGAACTTCATAAAATTCACTATTTTTATCCTTGTTAAAGAGTCTACTGATGCGACAGGTATCATATTTACACCTAAAAAAATTTCACCTAGTGTATGTTTAAAAGTAAAAAAAGAAAATAATAAAAAAAATTAGCGTCAACAATAACACATGCAAATCGGGCGTTACTTTGTGGCGACTGTACATGTATTTAAGCTATATTTGTTAAAGATTGATAATGGTCCTAAACACGAAATACATGTAATTAATATTTCGTCATAATAATTAATTTTCTTTTTTGATTTTCAGTGTCTTTAACGTTCGGGGCTGGAAATATTCTCCCATTTGACTTCTTACGTTATCAGAAGAGTTTTTTTTTTGGCAATCTGACTAATCCATTTAAACATTTATCAAAATGATCTTGAACATGAGCCGTATCCTGATAACATCCTACATCTTTGATTCAAGGGTATCAGGCAAAGTATTTTAGCAAGGAGACGTTCATAAATTATTGTCTTCATTTTTTTATTTCGTTACATTCTTTATTAGAACATTCAGTATTAATTCGTTTTGTGACCCAGAACAGTTACATTGATTCCATGCGTTTACATCGATATACAGTGTGTGACAAAAAACTTAACTATTTGCTGATTATATTAGATAATAAATAAATATCTTCAATTTTAGCTTAATTTATATTATTTTTTACTGAATTAAAATTAAATAACAGATTTATTTACTATATTTATTAAATAAATTCTTGCAAAATTCATGATTAAAATATTATTAATTACTCACAAATAAAAGATCTATAACTTATTATATTATTAAAATAAAGATATTTGTTCTATATCTAAATTATCCAAACTGATTTTAATTCTATAAAAAATTTATGAACTATTGTTAAGAATAATATAAAGAAATAAATATCAAAAAATTTGAATATTTTAAAGAAGTTTTTGATAGATGAATGGGATCCTATTTCAAAAATCATTTTAAATAATTTAATAAATTCAATAAAATATTATTGTAAGTTAATTATTAAAAGCAAAGATAAATAAATTAATTTTTAAGTCTAATAAATTTTATTCTATAACTTTTTTTGCTTTTAAATGATATATTGATCACTAAATTTGATGTAATATTCATGAATTTATAATGAATTTAGTATAGTTAAGTTTTTTTGTCACACACTGTACATGCGGCAATAATAAAAAATGAGAGTCAACTGTCATACGTTGGGCTAGCTCCACCCAGAAACTTAATAATGATCATAGCCCTGAGATTGCACAAAGCAGTACGATGACTATTTAATTTGAATTCTCGTGACAGGAGTAGTGCAACCAGAATTCCATTTTTGACATAAAACGGCAATAATTACAATCTTGATGATTTCTGATTACAACAAACAATCAACATGTAATAAAGGTAAATGTAGAAGACCAAAATTATGCAAAACATGAAGATCATTTGGCCTATAACAATTCTTTATTAAAGACTTTTGTCGTTTGCGGTTTCGGTATTGCCTTTTCTGTTCTGCACTAGAAAATTCCAGTTTAGTCAATCGTCACAGGTTTTTTCTGACGGATGGTTCCGTCACATCATTCAGTGCACTGATATGGTCTTTCCAGAGCCGTTCGTGTTTACATTATTATTAATAATTTAATTGATCCCTGAAGGAATTGAACCTTCTCCTCAGAAGAGACCAGTCATACGGGAACCTGAAAGAAACGAGAAGAAATAAAGGTAGTCACTGTTCTATGCATACTTGTATAAAATTATCTGCCAGCAAGTGAAATATAAAGAATGTAGAGTTTAGCTATGCCACAAGTGATGGAGAATTTATCTGAAATGTAAAAGAGATTTTACCAAGATCACAAAGTTTGGAGAATTTTTTAGTAATAACTGGTTGAAAGTTAATCAAGATTAAATAAACTTATCAGTAAAAGCAATGGAATTGGATAAACGAGTGTGGACAAATGAGAGTAATAGAAGAAATTATGTATTAGTATATAAAATGTACATTGTCATATTTTATTGCTTCCTATTTAGATTTTTTTCGTAATAAACTAACATGAGTGGGACATCATGAAGTATATTTTCTCTAAATCTCGTATAATTCTGATAAAAGCCTTTTGATTTGGTATAGTAATTCAATTTCATCACTTAATAAAAAAAAATACTCACTTCTCTATTTAAAATGTTTCACCAAATTTATTTTTACCTATTTATTAAAATAATTTTAAATATTAGAATTATAATTACAGTATTTTCTAGTTAAACTCTATATATTCTTCGAATTTTATAGTGATTATATAATGTTTTTTAATCTATCTAATGCAAGTCAAATTAAAATTTTAATTTTATGTATATAATAAATAAATATGCAATAAATTCTAGTGCAATTAATATTTAACTTTTAAGCAATTAATGCTTGTTTTTAATTAAAAATATTCATTTAATATTTTTATTGATTTGTTTGTCTTAATATAATATTTTTAATAATATATTATATTTTTTTAACAATAAATATCAAATTGTGTTATATTAGTTTGCGTTGATATTTTTAATTTTCTTTGATTTTTATTGATTTGCATATAATTTCTTTAATTTTGTTAACTTGTATATTTGCATAATATATATAATAAATATATCCTTTGATTTTATTAATTTGCATATTTGTATGATATATATGTAATCCTTTTATTTTGTTAATTTGCAATCATTATCTAGTAAATTCTTAGCATTTCATCTGGATTTTGTTACTTCTTTCTCTAACTAACCTTCTTCTATGTAATTATCTGATTATCTAAATTCTATCAAGTAATAATTTCTTGTTATTTAATAGACTGAAATCAGATACTATTCCTATATATTACAGCTCTATATCAGTTACTTCACTTCAATCTTTCTCTCTAACTCTTCAACAAAGTACTATTACTTTTTCAGAAATCTTTCACAATATCTATTTGTCATGATGAGAGATAATAAATATCTCACTCTCATATTTATTCATGAGTATTTCCAATTTCTCTAACTCTTTTAGAGCATATATATCCCTCTGGATATTCAATTGCTAAAGCAGAGAATTGATGAGATGCCCTCTCTATCACACATCTCTTTCATGAAGTCTATTCATATTTCTATATTTACCTTCATGTAAAGATGGTTTATATTTTTCTCACCCATGATTGCAGCTAATTTTTCATGATAATAATATATTATTTATAGCTGCCTATGTTTACTTGCTTATGAAAGATGCAATTTTGTAGGACTAGTGAAAAATTAATTACATGTATTGCTATAATAGTGTTATCAAAAATTATAAACACTGACTATTATTGATCAGGAGATACTGTATATACACTATACTAATATGTATAAATGCTTGCTATTTTTTATTTTATTTCATTTTGTGTGTGTGTGTATCTGTGTTTGTTACCATGCATTTGCACAACAAATGCTATCTTTACTCTCCAAGTTAATCGAAATTTAACTTTCACTTTGGGAAAAAGATGAGAAAGATCCATCTATCTTTAATATTTAAAATCACCTTTCTCCGAAAGACAAGAAAAAAAATACTTCATATATATGATGGTCATATGGTCTTGAGATTTTCTAAAATCAAGTGATACATCAAAATTCCGAAATCTTTATAGTATCAACTGTACGTTAATAATATAATCAAAAATATAGAAAGAATTTAGAGTCTATCCCCTGGATAACAACATATTTATTATTACATATATACGAGTCAAAAAATATATCGATATGGTTATTCTGTATTACGTGGCTTCAAATAAACTTTTCCACCAAGGCAAACAGGCATGAATGTATGTTCGCTTTTAATTGGCAAATGAGAATCGACTAATTCAACCTGATAATTAAGATAAATCAAAGAAATTATAGATTTCATCATATTTATTGCTTGAAAACGGCCAGGACAAATACGTAGTCCAGTTCCGAAAGTAAGATTTGAATTCCTCGTTATGTTGCTCTTTTGTTCATCGAGAAATCGTTCAGGCTTGTATTCATGCGGATCATGCCAAAGACTAGGATCATGATGAATGGCATGAACATTTATTCTGAATTGTGTCGAGGCGTGCCATTTGCGTCCAACAACATCGACTTCTTTGTTGTTGATGCGAGCAATTGCTATGGGTGGAAAGACTCGACGTGCTATAAACCAAAATTTATTTAGTACCAAGTTAATCAAAATTACTTTTCAATTTACCAATTATGCTTACTTTCATAAATAATCGCTTCAAGGTATTTAAGTTGACTAAGTTTGTCATAGGAGATGTTGTTTTTGTCGTCTCCGAAAACTGTACTTAGTTCTTCGAGTAATTTCTTTTTGGCATTTGGATTACGTTCTATATTTTCGATCGTAAATCCAAAAGTATTTGTAGTCTAATAATAAACAAAAGAGAGAGATTAATAATTCATTTTTTATTCGTCAGTCTAATAAGAAACAAGAGGGATTAATAATTCATTTTCATTCGTCAGCAATATAATAAAATCTCGCTTACAGTGTGAATTGATGAATTAATGATCTCAAATAGAAAAACGCAAATTTCTTTGTCAGATAAACGTATAGATTCATTATTGTCCGTAAATGAATTAGTATTTAGCAGTATATTCAAAATATCTGTTTTTCTGCTGGATAAATCTCCATTCTTATTTTCTTGTTTTCGTTTTTGAACAATTTCATTGTATATTGACTGAACCTTTTCTTTTTCTTGAAAATATTTTTTAGTCTTCCACCAAAAGATAGATCTCGCCAACGCTTCAGGTACCAACTGAAAATAAGAAAAAGCATTCACTTGCTTTTTTAACAACTGGTCAATATCTTCACCCATCTCGTAGATTTCTTTCGCGATGTTAATCTTCGGCCCAGTCGTCAAACTATTGAAATATTTCGTCATAATCGAAAAATTTTCACCGGTAGTTGTACGAATCATGATATCGAAGAAGAGACGTAAAGACCATTCCTTGATATCAATAACACGCTCAGCGCCGAGTTCTTCCCAGTACACTTGTAGCTCTTTGAAACATTCTAAAACTTCATCAAACAGCGCGTGTTGATACTTTTGGTTTAAGAGAGATTGCTCAAGTATTTTGCGATAATATCGCCAGCTTTCGTGGTCGTCATTCAAGAAGACAAATCCAAATTCTTTTAAGTATTTTCTAAAAATTTTAGTGAGTTTCATTTGAGCGAAAAAAGAACTTTTGGTGCTTGGTTGCGTCAATTTTTCAATTTGATTGGCATTGTTTAAGTAAATGTTGCGATTTGGTAACCAGAGTTCAAATAAATCTCCATATTGCTGGCGACTTTTTTGAGCAAACTCGAATGAGCTACCCCGGATTAGATGAAGATTACCAATTATTGGAAGTGGGAATGGGCCGTGAAGTGGATTTTCACGTGTAAAGTAGTTAAAGTAAAAGCGGAAAATATAATAGAAAAATGATAAAATCAAAATTTCAAACACTTTAACTGAGAATAAAAAATCAAGAATGCGAATGAGAACCATTGTTTTACGTGAATACTAAAAATTTTTCTGTTGCTTTATAGTTTCTTTATATACCTTACGCATACATAAATAAAGAGTTTTGCAAATGAAAAACGAAAATTTTGTATCATAAGCATATTTAAGACATTTGAACTTGATATTAAGGTTAAAGGATTGTTATTATTATTTGCGCCTAAACAATCCCGCTAAATTAGGCAATTGTGTATACCAGAATGAATTACTTTATTACAAGTAAAGATTCATTATCGCTATCATTATGTATACATGTACATATTTCCCATTGTAAATCCTTTTTTTTCTTTTTTTAGTCGCTTTCGTGCAAATTAATTTCTATTCTTGGGTGCACCATTATTAACGTTACATGTACTTAATTCTCTCATATTACATGTAAACCAAAATACGATACATGTACATGTATTCACACACACGAGTTTCTCACATATAGAATTTGAATCACTACATAGATTCCGTAACTGTATAACGATTATCGTTTGTTTTACTATCTTTAACGAATTCACGCATTTTACCCATTAAAATCAGAAATGGAATCAAATACTCATCATTGTAATGAATGTTGACGTTGTCAAATTAATAGATACTGCGATGAGTGTTTAGTTCACAATACTCATGATTGTAGTGAATGTTACAAATGTCAATGGAATGGACTCTGCGATGATTGTTTCAAATATCACCTAGCGGAGATGATGATATCGACAATCTAATAAAAGAATGCGATAAAATTAATAATAAATATGCAAATATATTTAATTTGCAAGATCCATCAATGTTGAATACCTTGCAAAGAGGTTTTGCGTCAATTTATAAAGCAACCTGGTTGGATGGACCATTGGAATTTCATGAAGATTATGATAACAATAAATACCCTCTTAAATGGGAACATGAAGAAATTAAATTTAAACGGAAAGGGAAGCAAAAGTTGTGTTGAAATCACTACACAATTCAAAACAAATTACTCCAGAGTTTCTACACGAGGTAAAATATGACCATTTTCTAAGTAAAAATTTTTTTTGTTCTAATAATCTCAAATTTTCAAAAATAGATTCAGCCTGCTCTTAAATGCACTGACCTTATTATCTTAAATATTATGGCATAACTAAAACCCAGCTACAAGAGAATATTCAATAGTGATGGATTATGCAAAAGATGATGATCTCCGTAAAATATATTAATTCCCATTACGAAAAATTGACTTGGAATAAAAAAATTATATTATTTATCCGATATTATTGACAGCCTACCAACAATTCATAAAGAAAAGTTTGTACATCGTGACTTTCATCCTGGAAATATATTATTAATGCATAGGGGAAAATTAATGGGTTATGAGCCTCAAATTGCTGATTTTGGACTTAGCATTCCAACAAATAAAGAAAAATCTAACCAAGAAATTTGTGGAGCACTTCCTTATATATGAGTCCAGAGATACTAAATAAAAAGCCATACACTAAAGCAGCCGATATTTATAGTTTTGGAACGGCTGCGTACGAAAAAGTAACTGGCGAACGACCGTTTGGTGATCGAAGTCATGATGTAAATCTTGTATTAGATATTTATAAAGGAGTACGACCTATGATACCAATTATTGAAAAATGTTGGGATCCTGTTCCAGAAAACAGACCAACCGCTGAGGAACTGAGTAACTTTATCTATTCTATCTACTATGGATACGATAGCGCGGAATGGAAACCGAATACATATACTTTGCATTTACAGTACTACAGCTCGTTAGATTATCCTAAAACAGAAAGAGTGTGTTAAACTAGAAAAACAACAATCTGATAAAATTAATTATCAACAAAGCATTTCTACGAATATAAACAAAAAACAACGAATCCACTCAAATGCAGTCGAATGTTTACTTTGAAATTAATATCAATATTCAATCAAAATGAATTTCAGATTGATTTTAAATATATCAAACATTTAGGTTTTACATGTGTTAGTTTGTATATGCCAAAACTTTACATTCTTTTATCACTTTCCTTAATCCAATATTTTTCTTTGGTGATAAAAAATAGATTTCAATGTAAGTATATCGCACGAAATTAGTCTTACACGTGAAGATAATCAATCTGCTTTAACTCCTCCCGCTAAATCATCCGCACAAAGTTTACGCTTAGCAACTGCGTTTATAATGTTCAGCATGAGGACACGAGGAAATATACAATTTCTCGAGTGTCTTAAAACTAAACCGATTTTGGAACAAAAACAAAAGTTGGGTGATTAACTATTCCCAAAAGTTAAAGGCACAATCAAGGTAAGTTATTATTTATTTATGCTTTGCTTGTAGCTACCAAGTTTCTATATAATCAATTTAAACATTGAGACCTTTATATATTCTTTTATTAGAGTCTTGGAATGAAGTCTCAAACAAGCAAAGTAACAATAATTCTCCTCGATACTAATGGTATTGGTTCCATTGCTACCAAATAAAATGCCAAATGTGCGTATAATGACAAGTGTAAGGTTCATATATATATATATATATGCGTATTTAATTAACTTATTTACTAATATCTTTTTCTTTAGTGCTCCCCGTGCGGGAAAACAGCCTCATTATTGATTTTTAATATATTTAGCTCATGGTGACAAAATATTAAATCCAAGACTAAAACATAGCTCTATATCAGGAAGCGTTTATTATATCTATCTATCGACCCTTATATTAAATCCCATTCATAAATAATAATCAGATTCAATATACTTTCAATATACTTCCAATATATTTCCATTTTATTTTCTTATTATGATATATAGTTTTATATTATCTTTACTTATAAAAAAAGTATAGCATCATTAACTACACAAGAAAAAGATAGGGAACAAGAAAACAAACTTTATATAGCACCATAGGGATCAGAGATATTACATACCAAAGGAATATCCTTACTGCAAGGTAGATAAATGGCCCAATTGCGTGTTATCTGCTCTTTTGTGGTCTATGGGATGAAAGGTTGTTAAATCCGGTTTCGGTGCTTTGCACATCTTTTAATAGCGTCCCCTGAGATCCGCGTGTGTGAACGTGAAGTTACGTATATGACGTGTAACTGCACGTGTAAACTTCGCGTTTATACATGACATAAAAACTGATGTCTTAATAATAATATTATTTTTTCCTCCCTTTAATTTTAAACCGCTTTATTGATAGTCCAAGTATTTAATAAGGTTTTCTGGTTCATCTTCCGCTTTTTTGTCCAAATTGATATTTTTTAATTATCTTTTCATATCAAATAAACCGCAGATTGTAATTTGAAGAAAAAATTATCTGATTCCAGCGTTTTTAGATAGCGAATCGTTATACAAAGGATCGAGATACTCGTCGCAAATACTCGTCCCAATAATGAAAAGAAAAGTTGGTATAACTTGGTTCGCTTTCATCTCATCAATCTAATGAATGTAAATTTATTATATTCGCAAAAGCAAAAGTCTCCCCATTACCACAGCAATCTTGAAATTATAGCGACAAAAGTGAAATCATGTATCTTTAAATTTTATTTTTCGCATATCTGATCGCACGTAAAATGTTTTAAATTATACTGTCGTTAATTTTTAATATGGTAATCTTAAAATTTTGCCAAGAGCTTGTGCCTGCAATAAAGTGATTTCATTAACTTTAAAATGAAATAAATTCTATTTTCAAATCGATTTGTAACTTGGCTGATTCACGTACATATATATAACGTATCAATACATGTACATCTATTTGTAAAATTAACACGAAAATGTCAAAATTTTATAAATCACAGATACAACGTTAATATTTTCTTCATATGTTATTAATAATGATATACAGTCCGCACGGAAAGTAATGACGGTTAGTTTTTTTAAAATTCAGGTGCAATTTTTTAACTATACAAAAAATTTTATCTCTAGAACTTCTCTAAATATAAAGTGAACATTTTTCACTAATGGGCAAAAACTCGTTGTCTTTTTAAAAATTTTGCAAAAATTATCAAAATTCTGCCCATATGTATCGTGATTTTCAATGGCAGGTTCATAGAATGTCATGCATTTTTTCACAGTATTTTTTAAACGGAGTCTATAAAATTTTTCCGCCACTATTCTCCGTGCATACTGTATGCTTCTATTTTATTGAGTACATTATACGTACAAGATTTTATCTATACGACTAATTTTGTATCTTTATTTTGGTTTCTATTCAGCTAGTTTTAGGAATTAAATACGGTAACATGCGATCAATCTTAAAAAGAAATAGCTGCGTGCATAAGTATTATAACTAGATATCATATGTCAACTACTCTTTATCGTTATATAGAGAAACCTACTAAATATATCCTCTTACTTTGTTCTGCCCTAATTATCACATCCTCTATAAATACACATTTCTATAAATGCTCACCTATGTTCTGTCTCTATTGCACACTGAGAGAGATCTGTTTATATATAGAGCTAAGTTCCATATTCATTTTGACTTGAAACGAGATCAATGACAAATACAGTACATTGGATTGCATCACATGTTTCGATGCATTTCGTACTCATTATTTTTCTTGTACTCACTCAAAATTTTCATCAAACCTTTTTATTTTCAATATAAAGTACTGCATAAAGATAAAAAAAATAAATTTTCTAAGTTGTTAAAAAAATTTAATTTCGGTTATTGTGAAATGTTAGTTTTCGGACATTTTGGTTTATTTATTATAAAAATTAACTACAAAAGGATAGTTTATAGTTTATAAATATTAATAAATTTCCCTCACAACTATTATGTCGCGAGATTCATTCTAACAAAGTTTTGTTTATATTTAGAAATGTTCTACTGAGTAAATTCGTTGCAACCTTAATTTAATGCATTGCAATGACTCCAATTAAAGTTACTATGATAAATACACACGTACTGTATTTTCGCGAAATTACGCACACTGCGCATTATTTCGAAACAAAGGGGTCTGCTCTTGCATTATTATATTGTTTCAGTCGCAACGAATAATCCCATGATTACGAAAATTCTGGAACATGCTAATTAGTAATGTGTCACGAAAAACTAAAAAAATAACGATGATTTTCTATTTGTTCCGTACCACCTGAGCAAAATCATACAAAAATTCTTCCCAAGGTGTGATTATCATTAGAAATTTCATACAAAAGTTCGTATCATACGTTCTTACTTAGATCCATAAAAATGATTCTACCTTTCTTGTAAAATTCATGGTTTGTATTGAGCATAATGTTATATAATAAACAATATAAAGGAAGGGACAGAGAGACATGTTTTGAATAAAAATAATTAACTAATAAAATTATTTAACTCTTATCTAACTGTATCTCACTTTTATTTCACTTGTGCCATAACGAAATTGATAGCATTTATTTCTTTTGTGCCTAACAAAATCAAGGCTGGCCATACAAAGTTGATGCATCGCATTTGATCTTTTGACATTGATATTATTATTTTGACATATAAAGTTTAATGTTGAAACTATTGATTTGATATATTTGAAGATTGATTTTTTTTTCTTGTGAATCCCTATTATTGCTTTATAATATGTTTTTGTTAGATATTCTATTAGACATTTGCTTCTTTAAATTCAAACTATTATCTGAACTTTACCTTTTGTCCTTGATTTCATAATTTCCATGAAAGATTGGCTCCTCGACAGTAAAATCACGACATTCTCAAAACATTGACTTCCGAACATCCGCATATCTAATATCCTGACATACCACATACCAAAAAATTCTGACATTCTTAGAACACAACGTGGATTATATAATTTTAGTATATTGTCGGGATTTTGGAACGTCAGGATCTTAAGATTCGGACGTTGGGAATTGTCGGTTAATTCTTCCCTTCTGTTTTTAATAACTCAATAAATACCATTTACATTTATAAAATGATTTGTATATGTCAGGATTTTGGAATAGATTCATATTCGCACTGTATACTTTGGATTTTAAAAAAATGCAGTTTACTGTTCGTACAGTAGTGGTCTGCACCCCAAAATTTTCAGAAATCAAGTGACAAGACCCCTCAATAATTTCCCGAAATTCAAGAGTGATACAATCTGTATAATTATAGGCTGGTACATAGATGATCGATTAACTTTTACGTCCAAAAAAATGTTATTCCTTCTGCATAAACGATATGAAATCGTTTTTCTTCACGAACATCCACAAGGACCGCAATGGGGCTATGAAAAAATAGCAACCCATATTGGCTATACTAAGAATACTGCAAAAAATTGGATTCAAAGATGGAGAATTTCAAAGGATCTAAGTGATCAAAAAAAATCGGGTTCACGGCGCAGAACAATGGCAAAACAAGACAAACAAATAACAAAAATGGCAAAGATGGAAAATAGTATAACAAGTATCCAAATACAACAGAATATGGAAAAATGGGATGTTAACATTAGTGCGAGGACTATTAGATGACGTCTTCATGAAGCTGGCGGAAAATATACTAATGAAATTACAAAACCTCTTACCACCAGAAAAAACGGCTGCAATGGGTGAAGAGATATCAAAATTTTGATTGGAATCAGGTTATTTTTACGGATGAAAGTACTTTTCAACTATTTCCATCGAAAAAAAAGCTTGGCAGTTCATTGAGTGAAAAAAAGTATTTCGTACTGTTAAGCATCCACCAGAGGTCCATCATGTATGGGGATGCTTTTCAGTTTCGGGATTTGATGAGTTGGTATGCTTTCAACGGAACCTTGACGCCAATTTTATGTGTGAAATCTACAAGAAGAGTCTTCTGCCTTCTGTCTCCAAGTTTTTTGGCAAGGGTAACTTAGACTGGTTCTTACAAGAAGATAATGATCCCAAACATCATTCAAGAATTGCAAAAAATTGGAAGGCGGAAAAAGGTATCAAGAAACTACGATGTCCCCTGATCAAAATCCTATAGAAAACGTGTGGCATTAAACCTTAAAAAAAATTCATACAATTAAAGAATTAAAGGGAGAACTAACAAAAGAGTGGAACCGCTTTCCATCAGAATTTGCCGCGAAATTAGTAGATAGTATGAAACGCCGTATAATGGCACTAATAGAGTCCAACGGCGACTATACTATGTACTAAAAATCAGTATTACTTGTGTTATTTTTAATAAAAAAATATAATTGCGATTTGCTTTATTTTTGGAAGAATTATGGGGGGGGGTGCAGTTATTTATGACCACTACTGTAAATACGTTATATGGATGCGCGTTATATCGGGACGTTCAAGATCGTTATTTTGAAACAATTTTTTAAAGGGATACGATTTTAGAAATAACGTCTATGAGCTTTATTTCGCGAAAGTATGGTATTAACATTTCTTGTTGCTTTATTCGTTAACTTTATTGTTGTAAAATCCTATCTTTAATTGCAGAAAGAATGAAAAATTACAGAAAGCAGAAAATTCTATGGAAATACAGGACACGGAGAAACTTTAAATACTTCATACTCTTCTACGCTAAAATATTGAATAGCAGAACTATGATCACCCCATATGTTTATATTTGGCGTTCTAAAGTAACGAGAACAAAACCAACTTGTAGTATTTTGATTTCATACGTCGCTGATATATAGATCATTATAAAAATATGGACCGAAAGTAGCTTGATAAGGATAGGCGATTTGATTTCCGGAAACGTTGCGTGAAAATTTTGCATCTTGACTTTTTCTATCACTGAAAGAAAAAATAAAAGCATCAGGGGCACTTAAATAAGAAACTTGATTAACTTGGTTATAACCTCCAAAATTACTGTTGCCTCCCCAATGACTAGGGTTATAGCCACCAATAATTCTTCCAGTTTGATTTGTTTTGACGATTACTACGGTCTGAGTTTCAGAACCACAAAGCTCACGAAATTTCGAAGCGTTAAAACCATCTCGGCTGCCTCGATAGAGGAGTTTAAATTCATATGACGACTTATAAAAGTTGTCAGGAAAATTGGTACTATCTTTTTTATCGATCCAAGCTGAGATTAACTTGACGTGTTTAGAGTCAATAATTTTAGAGCCTGATCGAGGAGGTAAAATTTTAACAGATTGTGGAACTGAGTTTTTGAGATAATAACCCAAAATTTCCATTTTCATGTCTTTTGGAAGGATTTTCCGGTAGGGAATTACTTTTACAAAATAATCATCGCTGGCGATGTCGTTATATCGGATCAATGGAATACATTGATGAAGAGTCTTTTCTAGAGCTGCAAAATCTTGGGGCGTCCATTTTGAAATATGTTTTTTGCCTAAAGTCGAAGTATTCATAGTACCCCATTTGATGATTGAATCCCAAATTTCAATTTCGTCCATTACTATATTATCGAGGTTTAATAAATCTACAAGTTCTGATTCCTTTAGGGACAAAAAATCGTCAGCTTCGAAAATCATATGAGGTTCTTCTTCAAGAATTTTGTCACAATACTCCTCTAATCTCTTGAATGATTCATGAAGAGAAACGGTATGCATAATCTTTATGAGATTATGTTGGACCCAAGTGGACATATTTATAATCAATACATCCTGACCATGATGAATTAATTCATTGATTTCTAATTCATCTGCGGCAACAAGTAGACTTAAAACATCATTTCCGCTTTCTTTGTTGAGATCGATTACGCTGGTATATAGATAACTATATAATTATGTAATACATTAAATATTTATTATATCGTTAGAAAGTGCCTCAAACTAAAATATGCACATACTTGAGTATAAGTTCAAATATTTTAGGTGAAATATTTGGTTTGTTAAAAATCATCATTTGACCCTTTTTTTTTGCCCATTCTTTTGATAAAGCACGTCGAAAATATGGTGAACGTGCACGTAAAAGTACCGAGTGAGCTTGAAACGTTTTAGTATTTTTATTTTCCCCAATGATAATATTAATGTTATATTCATCAGAGTTTTTTAAAAGCTCGGTCAAATCTTTGATAAGATTTCTTGTAAACTCGGTCATATTTTAGGACAATAATAAATGTGGTGAGAATGTACTAAAGAATGATTTCGATTTATTATTGGCATAAATATATAGATGAAGATTATAAATCAAGAATAACCATTTGGCTTATGATATAAATAGGCTTCTGATATAAGTATATGTTTATTACGATATTTATGATACTTATGATTCAATTACATGTACATGTATAATCAGCAAAATCAAAATTCCCACAAAACCTGTGATTCATAAGCCCGTGCAACACGTGCTTTCATTGATGACGTGTAATAAATTAACGGTGATTGAAAAAATAATGAAGAGATTACGGAGCAGTGGTAAACCTCCTGAAGTGGAAGGTTTTGCCCACCGATTCGCTAAAAATGCTTCCCTCATTACTGGAAAAACCAATGATTTGCCGAGCAACATCGAACATTGTTATTTAGGAACTGCTTCTTCTGCAAAAAATCACTTTCTTTCGTCTTTACAGTAATTATTTATCATTTATTGACGCATCAACGTGGAAACCAAAATTACCGTATTTCGCATTCATGAATACCCCTCTTATAGTATACCCACCCCCCTTTTTCACTAATAGTTTTTCTTATTAATTAACATTACTCGTGGAATGTTAGATATTCCAGGTATTCATAAATGCGAAATACGGTAGTAATTAAAATAAATTGCAAATGACATTAATTTCTAATTATAGCTTTTTTGATTACTATTTTTATTATGATTTACCGACAACGATCATTATTTACGCGACAATGCGACTGGCAATAAAATTTCTTTTTATATCACTAATTATTACATAATAAAAAGGCGGAAGGTGAATCCTTGTCTCCTAATTGTTTTACGCTTCGAATAATACTTTCACAAATTCTCTATTTTCAATTTACTAATAACAATGCCCAGCAAGAACGAACAAATCATCAACAAAAAGCAAAGAAACCAACCAATTACTTCAAGAAAAACTCTTCGTCGTTTGCGAAATGAACAGCAAATTGAGAAAATGTCGTCAAGGTCCCGATGGAATTTCAGCTACTTTGAATTTAGATAAAACGATCGAAATTATTAAAGAAAAAGTCAAAGGGTAAAAAGAAAGCAACACGTTTTCAATAGTAATATTTCGTACAAATTTTTTTATTTTTTTATTTTTTTATTCTCTAAATAGATTGCAAAAGAATGCCTTCGGTTGAATATAAAATTTCTTGATCATGAATTAACCTTTCATGTTATTTTTTATATCGGGGTGTTGTCGATATAAGAATTCTTGTCGGATCGAGTATTTTTTTGTCTTTCAGAAAAAAATGAATGTGTAATATTTAAAAATAAACTAATCTTTCTTTGTTTTCTCATCTTTTTCACGAAGTGAAAGTTAAATTTCGATTAACTAGGAGAGTAAAGGTAGCATCTATTGCGTGTAAACGCGAAATAAAACTCTTCAAATTCATATGATTCTTTTCATAAATATGGGTAGTTAAAAAATAACAAGCATTTATACACATCAGTATAGTGTATATATCCCCCGACATTAAAAATAGTCAATAATAGTCGGTATTTATAATTTTTGACAATGTCACTACTATCGCTATTATAGCGATAATTAATTTTCGATTTAATAAGAGAGAAGTGACAACAATTACTGTGAGCATTAACTATAACCTTTAGACAAATTCACTGGTCCCACAAAATTGCATCTTTCATAGACAAGTAAATACAGACACACATAAATAATATATTTTTTTATATCATCATCTTAAAAAATGGTTGTATTCATGGGTGGATGCGATGAGTGGATATTCACTACCTTCTGTGAGGAGGTGCCTAATTAAAAGGCTGGAGAAAGATAAAAACATCTTTAAATGAAAGTTGGTGGCGTGGTAGAGAGAAAGATTGAAGTTGGGTAGCCAATGCAGTGCTGCGATTTGTTGGGGCAGTACCTGACTTCAGCCTGAGTGACAAGGAATTGTACTTGGTGAGGCTTGGATGTTTTAAACAGATGGTTAGATGGGCGATGGATAGTTAATAGAAGGAGTAGATGGATTTTATGGGTTTTAGTAGATTGGAAAAGATGTTTGACAGGAGGAGTAATGAAATTTGTATGGGTTCTATGGTTTAATAAGTGGTATTGCATAATATTATATATATATCAATAACATTAAATATATGAACTGCGAAAGCCAAAAAATTAAATGACATTAAATTTGTTAATAACTTTAACAAAACTCATTAACTTGAACCAATACAGCATTCGTCATGCATCATCAACAAAACTCAAAGGATATTAATCATCAAAAACTTCAACCAATTCAAGTTAATTCAGCAATTCATAAATTAATATGGCAATACATGCAAAAACATTAAATGACATTAATTGTTAAAAACAAGCATTAATTGCTTAAAAACAAGCATTAATTTCTTAAAATCAAACATTAATTGCACTAAAATTTATTGTGCATTGTTTTATATTCGAAGAATATATAGGAATATATAAAATCTATCTAGAAAACTCTGTAACTATAATTTATAGCAATACTATTTGTAATATTTTAATAAAAAATATGAAAAGTATTTTATTTAGTGATATATTTGGTGAAAACCTCTTTAAACGAAGAAGTGAGTGTTTTTTTTCGCTAAATACGATGAGTATTATGTGTGAGAAGTGACACAATTGAAGTGCCGAATCAAGATTTAGGGGAAATTCCAAACATCATTTTACATGTTAAATGAAAGATCCGCTATTCTGGATTTGTCGAGAAGTTAGGTATGTCGGGAACGGGTAGATCCAGTAATTTAATATCTCCTAATAATACATGTAAATGAAAATCCCTGATAATATTCCGTTTAACTGATAGTATTCCCGTTCTATTAAGAAAATCTTAATTGGATATTTTTTACAAATACATATAATTGCAAAGCGCCTGATAGTATTCCGTTTCTAACAATAAACTAATTTATATAGAGTTAATGTTCATATTTCGTATTCTAACGAGATGTTGTTTTTACTACGAAGTTTTTTTTACACAGTCACATTTCATGTATTATTGAACACAGTAATTTATCTTTGACAAATACAAAATAAATTAATGAATCTTTTTAAAAATTATTGCAATTACATTTATAAGGTTTCCTTAAGTAATTAGCTGGTGGCACACTATTAACCTCTATAAATTGGATCAATAGGTTGCTTCAGATCTTCTTTTTTTTCCATATAAAATAAATATATTTTCCACCTGCACCAGAATTGAGATCGGTGCTATCAAAACTCCAAGAGGTCGGTACGCGCGGTCCATCCTCTTCCTGGATCAAGAAATCGATACTGGTAACAGGTGTCAACTTATTATCGTAACTTACGCCTCAAACACGTACTTGCCCCGTAATTTGCATTGAGATCTTTCTTGTTCCAGATTAAGGTCTCCGTATTATCCGGCCTTTCCCACGCTGTGATAGCGAAAGAAGTCACAGTTTTGAAGGAATGAGCCATTGTTGGGAGATAAAAAATTGCATAGAATGCGAGTATAATCATGTGGCTAATTTTTCTACAGATACACAGCATGGGGAATTTAATAACCCAAAACTGATGATTTTCATGAAGATACATTTTGAGCCTACCACATTTTGTTTTAATTGGAAACTTGTGAAATTGCTGAGGCACACCGAAACACAAATATATAAAAAGCCGTACATATACAATGTAGTTGTTCAGGAACAAGACCATTTCAGAATAAGTTAAACTATCCAATCGTTTATAAGAATTAGTCTTATCGATCATTTTATGACCAATCCAAACCAAATATAAACTTTATTTCCGCGTCTTGGAGATGAAACAATCTACTTTTGAACTAAAGAAAAAAAGACTATATATTACTGGCACGAAGATGAACGTTCTGTGCCAAAACTAGATAAACTCACAGGCCTACCTATCTCGACTGTCCGATACAATGTCAAATAATTAGGCGCAAAGATGGTAACGGGCATCCTAACAAAATTACTGCACATATATCAAGAAAACTATTTCTATTTTCCTACAAAGTATTATTAAACCAGGTACCGAAAAGATAGACATTCATATCGCACATTTGAAATCGCATGGATAAAAATAGACAAATATTTGAAAAATTATTATAGTCAAAAATACACTTCGTTGAGTTATAATATATCATCAACATGAAATTTTGTGCTAACTGCATGGTGAAAGTCACAGTCAGTAAATCCCAATACAAGACTTAGGGATTATTTATAATAATGCGGAACGAGTAGCTTGCTCAGGCAAGTCACGGATTTTCTTAGTGTTGGCATATGATCTATTCATATCAAAATTTTTAAATGATCTTGATCATATGCCCAAATGACCATGTATCATATGATTATATGGTCATATGATTATGACTACTAGTCATATGATGATTATGACTAAATTATTGGTCATAAATCATAGATCATATGATTTTTACGCAAATGTTAGTTAATAATGGCTGGTAAAGAACCACATAAATTTCGCCAGTTTTTTACACTAATAATACTATAAATGCACTTGCAGTTTGTAATTAGTGTATAAGAAAATATGGTAGTTTGGGAACAGCACAAAGTAAATCTGAATATACTACGGCAAATCCGCAATGATATGTTGAAGTCATTTTGTCAAAATGCTCAAATTTTAAAGAATATGCCACTTCTGATGAGATACAACGTGTTTTAAATTTGCCTGTTCCTGATAATAATAAAAAAAATAAAGAAAAATGAAAAGAAGGTGAGTTTTGTTAATATTAATAATTAATAATATTAATTTACTAATAATTTAAATATAGATAATGATGATAATGATACTATCAAACATCAAAAAAATTCAATTTCTTCTCTTTCCTCTTCTTTAACTCATAAAATAACTTCTATCATCTATCAACAACAATCTGTAATAAACTACTTTTATTGACCAATATTATATAATGATACATCACGGTTTGAACAACTTTTGTTAAGAATGATTATGTCAAATAGACTTTCTTTTAACTTTATTAAAATGAAGATACTATTGCAGTATTTCAATTTATTTCACTGGATTAAAGTTATCAAATAAAGATAAATAGATGATAATATTCCAATAAATAGTACAAATATCTTGAAAGAAAATATTATAAAGATTACAAAATCAGATCCCAATAATATAATAGTTGTATTTGATAGCTGGACAAATGTGAAACAAGAATATATTTGGGATGTTATATATATTATTTAGTCAATTACTAATATAAAGTGTACATGATATAAGTGCAGAATGATCTAAAACTAGAGATGTACTTAAACATATTAAGAATTTGATAAATGAAACTAAAGAAAAAAATATATTCATTAAAGCATTTATTTCAGACTTAGCAGAAGAGTATATTACAGTTTGGTATGTATATTTTAATTTTGCTTCATTTTAATTTATTATAAATATTAATTTTAATTAATATTAAAATTTATTTATAGTTATTAATTAAGATAAAGATATCTAGTCAAGTATTTTTATCTTGCATGACATATCAGATGAATTTGATTTTTGATGATATTTTTAAAAAATTAATATTATGTAAAAGAATATTCAAAGAAGTAATAAGAATTATCAATTATCTTTATAGATCAGTATACTTTACTAAAGTTCTTTGAGATAAATAAATATGAATATTATAAACAGTTATCTCACTTATAAATTCAGAAGATACTAAATGTATTCATACTATTTTTGTATTTATTCTGTTTTGATATCTCAAGCAGTACTTAAGATAATTAAAATTTCTTAATTTTATTTTTTTGCTTATTTAATTTTCAATTAAAGTATATTGTTAACAAGTTTAATCTAGAAAGAATTAATGCTATATATTCAAATAGTATACTAAATATTATATGCAGCAAACAAAAGTTCATCATTACAAAATGAAATATAAAAACTTCCTGATAATATTACAGATATAATTAATTTGAAATTTTGATCTATATTATTTGAATTACAAGACATGTTATATCTATTATGTAACTTTCTTAACAAGTTATAAAATAACACAGCTTATTTGTATGAGATGCTTTATTATTTTGGTTATATAACTAAAATCTTAAGTGAATAATTAAAATTTTGAATTTGGATCAAGAATGATAATAAGAATAAAAAGCTAGTGAAAAGAATAGGAACAATCACTTCTTATTTTATCTTTTGCATTACATTCGATATATAAATTATCAAAATTTTGGTCAAGCATATAAGATCTTACTTGAATACATATCAGTTAATAATTAAAGTACAGTGCATGATACTTAAAGGTGCCGATCACGTGGCTTGTCTCATTTTTGTTTTCAAAAAATCAAATCAAATTTAAATAAGCCAAAAAATCGATTTTTACATACTTGTTGAAAAATCAGGTGCTCATAAAGTCATGTGTTATATAGTAATAATATCTCAAATATTCTAATCATGTTATTACTTTGGATATGTCCCACTGACCATTGATCATATGAAACTTGGACATTTTTAAACAAATACAATTCAAAAATGAGTGATTATTTTTTAAAAAAGAAGCTGCTATTTAGTTGCTAGACCAATTTACTACAAAATAGCGGCCTTCTTTTTTTGTATCACCTTTGTATAATTATCTTTACTATTTAAAGATGGCTAGTTTTATTGACATCTTTAAGTGTCATGCACTATATTACTATGAAGCTTGGTTTGGATCACATTCACGTTCTATTTTATCTGAGTTGGTCAGGTATAAACATGGTGAAGATCCATATGATATGGATTCTTTTGACCAATTTAAGAAAAATTTGTTTGATTTCTGGGAATCAACAAGTGGTATCGGTCCAGAATTATCATGTGTAGCAATTCGAATTCATGGAATATGTGTTAATTCTGCTTCAAAATGAAGGTAAGAATTTTATTATCTATTCGTATTAATAGTAACACAACCATAATACTCATATTATTATTGAAGAAGTGATCGAGGAGAACGAACAACAGTGGTATCAGCTAATTGATGATGGATTAAATTGGGGATCGTGAAAAGCAATTCAAATCTGAAGAAGATTTCATTTTTTCTTCTACAGAATGGAATCATGATTTTAGTTTGGCAGGGCGCACTATACATCCTTCTGATAATGAAAAAGCGAAGTGGTCTTTGAATGCTTGATTTAGAATCGCCTTTATTTTTAGGCACAGATCACATTTTTACAAATGCGCAATAAAGTTAGAATTACATTTATTTCATTTGATAATAAAATTCTACGCTATGCTTGAATTGTTCTTAAAGATGTACACGGACTAATTACATAATAAGAAAAGTTGAGCACGCGTAAAGAAGATTTAACGTTTTTACTGTCCAGATCTATAATAAAAAGTTTTGGCGAAATTTTATTGGTCGACTATATGACCCAAGTCATAAGGTCATAAGCCACCCCAGAATGACCAAATGACCTATGACTGGTCATTCAGATCATATAGGTCATACAAGGTCATATGCCAACACTGGATTTCTTAGCATGTGAAAAAATATAAACAATTCAAAATTTTTATTTAGAAAGAGCATAAAGTACGTATTACAGTATAAGTATGGTACATGTTACCTAAATGTTGCTTTAAATTCCAATACTGAGATAAATAAAATTGAATAAAGAATTTACTCTGAAATTTTAAAATCTTCTGGAATCTCTAACATATTTTCATTTGTGATCGTGAAACATAATTCTGATGTGGCTTTATCATCTACTTCACCAATTGATAAAATTGAGAAAGAAAGTTCGAATTCGTTGACTTTCGTTGAATTTTGGTCCCACTCATGACTAATTTTTTGGGTTTTCCAATCGGAAAAAGTTTTATAGATTTCTTCAGCAGTTGGTCTTCGTTTCGGATCTGTATCCCAGCATCGTTGCATCAGTAATCGATATGGTTCTGGTGTTCCAGGAATAATTTCTGGTCTTTTACCGTCGTGTATATCCAAGACTAAAGATATATCGTGACTAGTATCTTCATATGGAGATTTTCCCGCGGTAATTGCCCACATCAACATTCCCACGCTATAAATGTCTGATTTGGTCGTGTATGGTTGTTGGGAAATTACTTCCGGGGCTATATATGGTAACACGCCATTGATTTCTGAACTTGTTATGCTAACAGCACTCCCTAGACCAAGATCACTAACATAGAAGTTTCCAGTTTCGGTATGCAAGATATTGCTAATATGTAGATCTCTATGCGCAAAACCAGCTTGATGAAAAAATCTAAGCGTATTTGCAATGTCATAGATAATTTTAATTTTTAGTTCCCAACTTAATGGATGATTTTTCTTGAGAAATGCGTGAAGATTGCCACGCGCAGCGTATTCTAATATCATCATATAACTTGAAGTGCCTGGATGCTTCGTAATACCCCAGCATACTGGTATGTCGATGTAGTAAAAAGAGACATGGAAATTTAACTGTATTATTTAAATAGGTTTAAGTTTAATGTTAAGTATAACGATAACTTTAAACTGTCAATAAACCCAATTAATAAATAACTTGCTTCGTTTATAAATTTATTGTCGAAATCTTTAGTTGTATGAAGTGCTTTTAACACTATAAGTTTATCACCTATTCCTATTGGCCCTTTTTTCCAAATTGCCTTATAAATGGTACCTTCGCCACCACTATCTAGTAGAGTCACATCATCAAATTCACTAAAATCAACCCATTTAATATTAAAATCCGTATGAGGGTTATCCACGGCACTCAATTGATGTTTTTTTAGGTATTCGTCCAAATGTTCATTACCACAGGACCAATTATCAAAGTGCTTAATAATCGAAGCGCGCTTCTTCTCACGATATCGGGTACATGGATCACAAATTCGACCGAGTTTAAATGTATTTGAGCATTCACAGAATTCGTCGTCGGTTGATTCGTCGGGGAAAGTTGTAGTTTGAGATTCTGAGTTAGATGAAACGTGGTCGCGCATACTAATAATAAAATTCGTTTTATGAATATCGTATAAATTATTTTGCTTTTTTGTAAAAGATACCTACGCTTATATACTGTATTTCGATATGTAATTAAAGAACTTGTTTTTCGCATTCATACAACAGCTTGTCTTAATGAATACATGTATGTAAGAAACACAATTTAGAAATAATCAACAGGGGCATATACTGATACTGTATATCACGATAAACAATAATGTCATGTACATTCACAGAGGCAATTTCATTTTCGTTGAACATTCGATAAATAGGATAATGCATACATGAAACAATGTTATCGTTATATTGCAAAATCGGAAAAGGGAAAATCTGATGTACAATGAGTACACAATGTAAATAACGAATCGCCTATTTTGTAAATTTTATCTTTGTTAAATTTTTACGGCATAATATGAGATTACCGAATTTCCATCTTTTGTATGAATTGGTCAATAACACCACGCTATTTCGTTTTGTACATTATTTTTGAATTATGTGAAAACCAAGTTCAATTTATCTTCCTGAAAATAATTGCTTGTGCCGAGAAATAAAACGAAATTCATTTATTACATGTACATGTATATTAACAATTTTATAATCTTCGTGACAAGCCTCTTTATGAACATATTATATATCAAATTTGTTTGTATTTTTCTACGTATGACATTACGATTTAAATGCAGTTTCTAACAATCCGAATAATAATCAGCTTAATAAGGAGAAAACACATTGAAATAAATTTGCCGTCTATAGGTAAAAGAGTACATTTAAAGCTAAATGCATATCTCATTGTCCCCTTACTATTTTCATAGTTTATACTAATCAAAAACATGTGAGTTTTTATCCCGAGGTTCGTTGATTTCATTTTTTATGGCTGTCAAATATGTTATGAATTCAGCCGCTTCTAAACCAATCATTCTGGTGATTATTCTTTTCATCATGTAGCGTTTTACGTATTTAATACTTGCATATATAAACTGTGCAATCACCTTTTGGATGCAACTTAAAGGTTTTTTGTCATAAACGAGAAAAACCGAGCTTAAATTTCTTCTAATTGAAAATACTAATAGTGACTTTTAATTTCATTTCTTATATTTCCGGTATCGAAATAATTGAATCACCGATATTATACCAATAATACACGTAGTTACTGTATTGAGCATGTTCATATTTCTGAACGATACGTGATATTAACTGGCAGAATTGCGTATTAAAATGCTTTTTGTTGGTATGCGTTCAAAAAAAAATCAAACGTGCAAAATTTTTATTCGGTTAATATTGGTGGCCAACTTCCATCAAATTGATATGAATATGCAGTATCATGTGTATCCAGAGGAGTAGATACATTAATTGCGAGGTTGAATTTAATGAGTTTATAAAAGACACATGCATAAACGTTAGTAAATCGTGTGCAAGTTAGCAAACATTTATTAAGTGTTATCAAAAGTGAAAACTACGAATTTTAATATCATCAATAAGTCATCGTCTCGAAAAATCCTTCGCTGAATTGTATAGGCAATAAAATTTGTATGCGACAATTCATAAAATTTAATGTACAATTTAGTAAACGTGTAGATTGCAAATACACTCCTTCTCTTTATAGTTCAGGTGAATTTTCTACATTCTCCAATATAACATTCACTACGCTGGCTTAAAAATTCAATTATAAGAATAAACTTTAATACTTTAGGTAGTTTTGATTGTACACCAAAATTTTGACTGTTTTTTTGTAAAGTTGAATATTGTATCTTTAGTTAGGTTTCTTCTTTGTGGGCAATAAACTGAAGAAGAAAACTTCTAAGAATAATATTCATAATTGATAAAATACGACTTAAAAACATATATAGTTCATTCCGATTCACTTAAAACATACTTTTTATCACTTACGAATTGACATTCTATAGATTCCAAATATTAGGATAAATTTTAAATAATTAACTCTAAAACACAAAGAAAATCCAGTTGAACGTTAATGCTGAGATGGAAATTTATGTAACAAGTAACAATCACATGTATAGCTCTCGGATCCCACTTAAATGTGCAATAAAAAGCTTGTTGATAATTGCGAGAACGAGATAATAATAACCTAGCGATCTTCGGATATTTTCAACGAAGTTGCAATCAATGTATCCACTTGTACGCCGGGTAAAATATGATCATGCTAAGCATTATTGTCATTTGGACCGCCAATATTGCGTTAAATTTACTGATTGCAACGTGCTTTTTGATATTTTGTTAAGATACATACATTTAGAATTCGTATTATCGTAAATTCTGTAAGCAAATGGTAAAAAAGATAGAAAATGCCAACTACATGTACATGTACATGTACATGTACTGTACATCTATAATGAAGGCTCTTTAAATTGCAAACTAATGCTAACAATTATTTTTTGTATGGGTCATTAAATTATTAAAAAAAAAAAAAAGGAGAAATTTCAAACGATGATGACTTTGTTTTTTAACGTTAACATTTAACACGAAAAATCATTATAATAACAAATATGGACGTGTTATGTGAAACATTGTTGTAACACATAAAAATTATTAAAACGAATTGTCGGCAAAATCTAACAGTTTTTTATTCATATACTGAGCATTAAATGAGTTTATGCTGGTTAACCATAAACTCATTTTATTACTGAACTTCCTAATGCATCCGTTTTTGCATGTACTCCTAGTAATTTTGATCGAGCGAATCTAGCGAGGGTTTAACGTAAGAAACATTGAAATATATATTTGTCATATATAAACTTCAATAATTAAAAGCATTCAAAATTGGACAGCCAGGCAGGCGCGCAACTTTTTCACGATAATACCAACGACATCTGGGATTTTTGAGATTCCCGCGTATATCGATTTCGATCATAAGCTTGGTAATTATTCAAAAATTTCACACTTCAAAAGAGGTTAGCGTTTTTTCTCTTTTTTCTCCCTCTGTGTACGTATACTGGAATTTTATATAAAATCTAGCTAAATTTTCGCTTTTTCCTAAAGAATCGATTCGAATCCTCAAAAATTCAGTTTTAACTGTGATACCTGTAACATCAAACAAATTCTCAGAACTGAACATTATACCACACTTGTAGTATAAAGGTAAGGGAAGTCAAGCCTTAAATAATGCACCTATAACAGGTTATCTAATTGGCACTGCGTATTACAAACATAGAATGTTGACAATAGTTATTGTATGAATTATGCCAACTATTATAATGGTGCTCCTATTAATCAAACTTATTGTGCTGGGTACGTCAAAGTATTTGAATTTAATGATTATTTGTTCGGCATGCGACCAAAAATTAATTTTCTCTTTAAAATTTCAACAGAATAATATCACCTAAAATATCAACTTTATCAATTCTAAATCCAAACATTACCGTTACGATATCTCCATCTACTAGCACGTCTGATATGGGACAGTCTTCTGGCATTCAGCTCTCAATAGTTGGTGATAGGCATAATTGTTGAATCATGCGCGGATACGGCGCTTATTGCTCTTTTTATAGGGTATCTGTTTTTCCGTCACCGTCAGTCTATCATGGATAACGATCGAAACGATCTTCAAATTTACAAATAATGGTGGCGGGTATGACGTTATCAATTAATGTATTAAAAAGGAAACTTACCTTTTTTCCAAAGTAATTTTTTGATCATTTTTCTACTTAAACAAACTTTGATTTTATGCAATATAATAATTATGCCTAAAAGTATAGTCTTTCAGTTTATTTTAATAAAATTATATTAATCAATATGAATCATATTATTGAACAAAATTCATGAATTTGCATCCTCCTTAATGAATCATTTTTCCACACATTATGTTCATCAAAAGAAAATATCACGCAATCTTCTGTTATCCATCTTAAAATTACTGGTTTTGTGAAATATTTGCCAAATTCTGTATCTATTAATTTTAACAGAACATATAAGCATAATAATATATGATATATTTTAAGTGATGAATGTTCAAATCCTACGAAAATTCAAAAAAAATGAAAATCAATAATAAATTTGCAAAAATAAGAACTTTAAATATGATTTATCTGCAAATGTCAAATGAAAGAAGTCTTATTTAAGTAAAAAAATATCAAAAGTTACATTTAAACCCTACAAAAGAATATAAAGTTTGAATGGCAGATAATTGAAACAAAGTACTTTGGTTAGTAGAGTCAAATTTTATGCTACTTGGATCAAATAGTTATAATATTGTAGGAAATTTGAAAATGAATCACTAAATAGCTATCTCATAAAATATGCAGTTAAATTTGAAATAATAGTTCTATGATTTGAAGCTTTTTTTCTTCTTTTGATATTGTCAATATATATATATATTTAATATCATGAATTAAGAATATATTATGAAATATAATGAATAACTTGATAGAAACTATTGAATTAATAAAAATACAGTATAACACTGCTTACAGTACCCCGGGTCTTAATCAAGAATGCCTTTCTTTAAAATTGAATAGTAACCCGGGTACTCTATGCGGAACCGGGTACCTTATTCGGATAGTATTATATTATAGATATTGTATAATAGAGGGGGTACTAATCAAGAATTAAACCTGAATAGTACCCGGGTCTTAATAATGGAGGGTACTATATTTTTAATATTATTTTATATAAGATAATGATCTGAAATATATGACTAATAAATAATGTAATAATTTGATATTAATATAATTAATTGATGAAATAATCATCTCAATCTCCTGATTTAAATCCAATTAATATCTCATAAATAGATAACTGAAACAATCAAAATACTGATCGATAATCGGAATTAACTATAAAAAAAAATAAATTTTGATAATGAATTTTCAAGATTAATTGAAAATATATTTGAATAAACGAAGAATATAATTAATACTAAAAAGAATAGATTATATGATATAGAATAATTTGTTAAATTTTATTTATTGATTTTAGCAATAAATTTTTATATTAAATCAATTAAAATAATATCACATATTTTTTCATATTTTTTTTATTTTTATTATGTTAATTAATTATCAGTTTATTATTATAATATTTTACAAGATTTAATAATAATATAAATTTAATTTATGAATTTTCAATATATATAAAGATATTAAAATTTTAAATCTGTTATTTGAATAATGTAAACTTTTAACTATTATTGTAATTAGTCTTCTAAAAGATAGGTAAAAAATAAATGTATTTATACTGTTCAAAGATCATTATACATATTTAAATCTTAAGAAAATATTATTAGGTTGAATTTGCTTAAATTGAATACTAGCCTATAAAGTATTTTTAAATCTGGCCAAACTCAAGTCGGATAAAAAGTCTGAAGAATAGAAATCACTCCAAAATTATTTTAAAAAATATAAGAAATTCCAAAAATGCGAAACCTTTATATATTTATTGAAGCTAGATTTTTTTTTGCCGAGTTGACCAAAAATTTGCGTATTCCTATTCTATTAACTTCGGGATGCGAAATCTCGAATTGGTTTAACCACCATTCGATTCATCTAACTCTGACCAATCGAAATGTTGCTTAGATCACTCTGATCCTATAATTTGATCATGAGATTTTCTGTTATAAGGATACCGTAAGTCTAAAAATAAGAAACCTCACCATTTCCAAATTCATAAGTCTCGAAAAATAAGAAACCTCGCCATTTTGAACTGTCGGACGACCACCAAATAGGTTTCTTATTTTCGGGCATATACGGTACAAATATGGACATGCCATGTAATTATTGCCCAAATTTGTGGAACACTGGTGTAACCCATAAAATTATATAACGAATTGAACTTTACTTCGTCAAAATCTAACAAATTTTTATTCATATACTGAAGCATTAAATGAGATTATGCTGGTTAACCATAAAATCATTTTATTACTGTGCTTTCTCACTGCATCCATTTTTGCATGTACTCCTGATAATTTTGATGGAAATTTTATCGCAATAAGTTTAACTGGAAAGAATAAAATTTGGCGAGCGAATCTATTGGGCGGTTTTGCGTAAGAAATATGGAAAGATATATTAGCCATACATGTATAAACAACCTTCAACAATTAAAAGCATTTAAAAATTTGATAGGCAGTCAGGCGTGCAACTTGTCATTTATAATAGCGGTGACCAACCAAGTAATAACGAAATTTTCACGATAACACCAACGACACCTGGGATTTTTGAGATTTACCCGTATATCAATTTCTATCATAATCTTGGTAATTAGCGGCATTTACTTTAATAAATGTTTGATTGTATTTAGTTTATGAAAAACTTGGCATTCAATTTATTGCACATAGTCATTGCGCAAGCACCAAATTCAAAAATTGGTGACAATTTCACACTTCAAAATAGGTTAGCGAATTTTTCTCTTTTTTTCTCCTGTGTACGTATACTGGAATTTCATAAAAAATCTAGCTAAATTTCCGCTTTTTCCTAAAGAACCGATTCGAATCCTCAAAAATTCACTTTTGACTGTGATACCTGTAACATCAACACAAATTCTCAGAACTGGACATTATACCACACTTCATGCAATATAAAGGTAAGGGGAAGTCAAGTCTTAAATCATGCACCTATAACAGGTTATCTAATTAGTACTGCGTATTACAAACATAGAATTTTGACAATGGTTATTGTATGAATTATGCCGACTATTATAATAGTGCTCCTATTAACCAAACTTATTGTACCGCTGCGAAAAAATGGGATCTTTGGGGGTATGTTAAAATATTTGAATTTAATATTTATTTGTTCGACATATGGCCAAAAATTAATTTTTAAATTTCAACAGAATAATATCACCTGAAAATATCAATTTTCTCAATTCCAAATCAAATCCAAATATTACCGTTACGACATATCCATCCACTAGTACTAGCGCATCTTATATAGAACAGTCTTCTGGCGTTCAGCTCTCAATAGGTGGGCTTGTAGGCATAGTTGTTGGATCATGCGCGGGTATGGCGCTTATTATTCTTTTTGTAGGGTATTTGTTTTTCCGTCACCGTCAGTCTAGCATGGGTGACGATCGAGTCAATCTTCAAATTTACAAATAATGGTGACGGGTATGACTTATCAATCTGAGATCGATCTCTGGTGCGTTTGATCCACCTGATAGAACATTACTGTACATATGATATACAGTCATACGGTGGCTGCATCACATGAATAAAAAGTAGTATCTCATGATTCATGTGATTTAAAAAGACAAACCTTACAAAAGTGGTTATGTTTCTTGTGCTTAAATAAACTTTGGTTTGCATGCAATATAATAATTATGCCTAAAATTATATGCATAATCTTTCAATTTATTTTAATAAATTATAATTAAATAAATAAGGAGGCATATTATTCTTGAATAAAGCTCATGAATCTGCACACCTCTCAGTGAAGAATTTCCTCATATTATATTGTACCAAAAGAAAGCATCACGTAATCTTCAGTTATCCATCTTCAAAGGTGGTTTTTTGAAAGATTTGCCTAATTCTGGTCATCCACAAATTTAATAAAACATCAAAGTTTATAGGCCCCTTTGAAATCATTACCAAAATATCTTCTGTCACCTGCAAACTATAATTATCAATAAATATAAAATTATACCCAATATTTCATATATCACTTGTATAACTTTATGAATTGATATCATACATACAAAATACATATATCAAGAATTCTAATCGCATATATGAAGACTTAACTGGTATAGTATATGATTTATTTCAAGTGGCGAATGTTCAAATACTATGAAGATTCAAAAAAAAATTGAAAATCAATAATAAAGCAATAATACTATAATAAATTTATGTAAATATGATTGATATGCAAAAGTTAAATGAAAGAAATCTTCTTTAAATAAAAACATCAAAATTACATTCAAAGAACATAAAAATTGGATGACAGATGATTTGAACAAAATGCTTTGATCAGATGAGTCAAAGTTTATGCTATCAGGATTAAATAATTATGAATATTATTAATATTATTAGAAATTTGAAATGAATTACTAAATGACTGCCTTATAAAATCTGCTGTTAAATTCAGAATGATTTAGGGCTGTTGTTCTTCTTTTGACATTGGCAATATCATATACTATCATGAATTAAGAATTGTATCATGAAATATTAATGAATAACTTGTTATAAATAGAAATACTATGACTTGACCAGTCAGAATTAACTTGATATTGATTACATGTATTGATATCATAAATAATGATATAGTGGCTCATGGCGTAAATGGAATATAGGAAAATATCTCACCATTGAAGAATTATATATAATTAAATAAATTAATAATCTTATGCCATGTTTTTAGAGAGCTAACTATTCTTAATTTAATAATATATATATAATTAATAATAATATAATATAATAAAAGAGAATAAATAAAAATATAAGAAATAAATTAATTAAAATAATAATTATCTAAATTAATAATAAGAGAATATATAATAATTATCTGCACAATAATATATATTAATCTAAATTAATTAAATGCATCAGAGTTAAAGATATGTGCATTTTATTCTGCTTATCAACTAATATGTATTTTATTTTAATTCATTATTTCCTTCCTTCCTACACAATAATTTTTTTTAATATCCCACGTAATTCAACTGAATTGGAAGAAGAAATTCAGTCATAAAGATAAGTATAAAAATATCTTTTTATTTCGGTAATAAATAGAAAACTAAATAATATTACTGACAATAATAAAAACAAAATTTTAATTCTCAATGCCTCAAATTTTCCACAAAAAAGTGTTCATATTTATGTTCTTTGATAAGAAGGGTATTCATTTCGAGAAATCGCCACATTAGAGCAAGTGGACGTGGCTTCAATTCACCGAATATGCAAGAAAGACAAAACTGGAAGCTTTAATAATGATTCAAGATCCAGCTGTACATCAACTCTTTCATCACATTATGAGCAAAACAGTATGACTAATACAGTCTGGAAAATACTTCACCACTATTCAGATCCAATGTGAATTCAAAATTGAGCTGGATGTTAATTTATTAGTGAAGAGCATACGGAGAATACTTCAGAAAAATGGCTTATCTGCAAGAATAAGGCGAAAAAGTCTTTACTCAGTAAAACTCACTGAAGAAAGAGATTAAATTAGGCGAAGAAATACAGAAATTGGATGTTCAATGATTGAAAGTGAATAATTTGATCTGACAAAGCAGCTCCAACTATTTGGGTCAAACGGGAGGAGTACTGTTGAAAGAAGCCTGGCGAACCTTTTAAAAGATCATCATATTACACCAACATTGAAATCTGGTGGTGATTCAATTCTGGTTTGGGGTTGATTTACCTAAAAAAAAACGATGGAAAAATGATAGCTAATGTCTATATTAATATTTTAAATATTAACTTATTAGACACAGCCTGGGAGATGATGCTGGAGGATACAAATTTTATCTTCCAGCAAGACAATGACCCAAACATGTCTCCAAAAAAAAGCGAAGCAATGGTTCGTCGATAATGAGATCAACTTACTTACTGGCCATCGCAATCCCCTGACCTGAACCCTATCGAACACTTGTGAAATGAAGTTGATAGGTGTTTGAGGCATCTCCCTGGCTCACTTTCATTGCAAAAAGACTTGCGGGAAAAGCTACAAGTCATGTGGAAAAGCATTAGTGTCAACTTTTGTATGAGGTTGGTTGTCTCAATGTCAAAAAGGATATGTCATAACGGCAAGGGGTGGTTCTAGAAAATGATAAATAGGTTAATCAGGTTTGTAATATCAAAGAAATTAGAAACTGTTGACTTAGCTTAATTAGCAAACTACCCGCAAATTTTTTCCCCAAATTCGGCTGTATTGCGCCGAACACTAAAAGAAAATAAAAAAGATTATTGTGTAAATGGATGAAAATAAATATGCATTGATTGATGAGCAGCATTTTAACGAATAAAATGCACTTACCTTGACTCCGTACAATTCTTCAATGGCGAGATATTCGTATATCGCTAATTTTTTTTACATTTTACTCCACGAGCCACTGTATTTATATCCCAAAGATTCAATTTTAAATACGAAATCTTTAATTTTCTGTTATGTAATTAATTATTTTTAATATGCATAACTATTAGAAATGCAAACTTGCAAAAAATTGTGAACGGACAAAATCAAAGCACAATACAATAAAGAGCGAAATAATAATACAGTATTAATAATAATATATAATGGTAGTGGTAGTATTATAATACTACAAACATTTTCTTCCATTCAACTTTTAAACACAAACATGTACGAGCACTGCACTTGTTAATGAATATTCGTTTTGATGCATATTTTGCCACATTAAGATTCTAAAATCATCATCATTTGATGGTAAATTCCAATAACGTTACATTTTATCATTTTTTTTGTAGAAAAATTTAGTTTTTTCAGGAAACAATTTTTTTTATGGCATAGATTAAAATTTAAATTGTAACCGTTTCATTAATTTGTCATGCATTTTCATATAATCGACTAAGATAGACCAACTCTATCATTTTCGTTAAGTTGAGTCGAGTCGTTAGCATCCCTAATTGGGAACCATTGAATTGAATAAAAATAATACTATCATTAATTTTATGCAAGAAACATGTGTGAATAAATGATGTGGGATTAATATGTTGGAATAGTCACTCAATCTCCTGATTTAAATCCAATTGACACCTCTGGAGTAAGAAGATAGCCAGGTGTCTGAAACAATCAGAAAATCCATAATCAGGACAACTATGGAAAGCAATGCAAAAAATGGGGATTTCGATGAATAATGAATTTTCAATAAGATTAACTGAAAATATGCCTGAGAGAATGGATGATAATTAATGCTAAAGGAGGATATATACTAGGTAGCAAAGAATAATTTGTTAAATTTTATTTATTGGTTATTTAGCAATAACTTTTTTAGTTTTTTATACATTAACGTTAAATCAAAAGAAACGCGCCACATAAATCACGTTGATATCGATATTAGTTGGTTATAAGAATTTATGGATTTTCAATGTGTTTAATTTAATGTGTGTGTAAAATTATTAAAATTTTAAATCTGTCATTTGGGTGATGCAAAATTCTAGCTACCACTGTAATATTAGTCTCCTAAAAGAGTACAAAAATACATGCATTTGTGCTGTTCGAAGGTCATCATGCATATTCGGAACTTATAATACAAGTTGGTTGTTAATATGCTCACTTTAACTAGAAATTTCACTATATTAACGAGCTACTATACATTAAGAAAAGTTGGGCTGAGTGCAATAGAAACGATCTAAATTAATTATATTAGAATTTCTAATATAATTTACACCATTTCTATTGCACTTACCCAGTTGTTCACCATAGAATTTTATATTAGAAAATATATACTGACATTTTAATATTTTCATCTTACATTCAATCCAAGATTAACGTATGTTGCAGCTTAATTTTTCAAGAATAGAATGCCATCCTCAGAGTCATTTCAGAAGTAAAATTTTTTCAATGTTAAATTATAAAAGTTTCTTCAAAAAAAGAAGAAACTCACCGCCATTACTTTTGCCGGGAACTGTGCTATCCAAAAGCGTGCATCTCTTGCTTGTAATGTATAACAACCAGAATAAGATGAACTCTTTACCATTACAAAAAAAACCTTTGATCTAAATATCATCTTTTTCACCAAACTCTTGGCAGAATAAAAAATTTCATTGTATTTATTTATCATTAATTACGCTAAGCAGCACGCTAAATTTACTGATGGTGACGTGTTTTTTATAATTAATATTTGTGTTTAGAATTCATAATTTTGTAACTATTGTACATGTAACACGAAAAACCTTTGTTAGTGTAGACAAAATTATTAATACGATAGTAAATGAAGGGACTCAGATATAACGTAACGGTAACGGGTAATAACAATATGGGTCAAATATATCTTACATTGTACAAGATTCCAAAAATAGAAGTTATGTAGTCACTCCTATTGGATAATTAAAATTAGATGTCGGTCTGTCACTAGTAAAATTATATTACGTCTCCTTAACGTTAGGGTATTATCATTGTTAAATATTGGTGTAACCCATTAAAGATATATAACGAATTGAACTTCAGCTTTTTATTCATATACTGAACATTAAATGAGATTATGCTGGTTAACCATAAAATCATTTTATTACTGGACTTCTTCATTGCATCCGTTTTTGCATGTACTCCTAATAATTTTGATGGAAATTCTATCGCAATAAGTTTAACTGGAACGACTAAGAATTGGCGAGTGAATCTAGGGGGAAGTCTTGTGTAAGAAATATGGAAAGATATGTTTGTCATATAGCAATCTTCAACAATTAAAAACATTTCAAAATTTGACAGTCAGGCAGGTGTGCAACTTATCATTTTTAATAACGGCAATCAACCAGATAGAAACGACATTTTCACGATAGCATCAACAACACCCGGGATTTTTGAGATTTCCCCATATATCAATTTCTATCATAATCTTGGTAATTAGCGACATTTACTTTCTCTGATAAATGTTTGATTATATTTATTTTGTGAAAAACTTGTCATTCAATTTATTGCAACATAGTCATTGCGCAAGCACCAAATTCAAAAATTGGTGACAATTTCACACTTCAAAATAGGTTAGCGATTTTTCTCTTTTTTGCTTTTTCCTAAAGAATCGATTCGAATCCTCAAAAATTCACTTTTGACTGTGATACCTGTAACATCAACACAAATTCTCAGAACTGGACATTATACCACACTACATGTAGTATAAAGGTAAGGAAGTCAAGCCTTAAATCATGCACCTATAACAGGTTATCTAATTAGCACTGCGTATTACAAACATAGAATGTTGACAATGGTTATTGTATGAATTGTGCTGACTATTATGATGGTGCGCCTATTAATCAAACTTATTGTGCTTCTGCGAAAAAATGGGATCTTTGGGGGACATTAACTTATTTGAATTTAATGATTATTTGTTCGGCATGCAGCCAAAAATTAATTTTCTCTTTAAAATTTCAACAGAACAATATCACCTGAAAATATCAACTTTATCAATTCTCAATTAAATCCAAACCTTACCGTTACGACATCTCCATCTACTAGCACGTCTGATATGGGACAGTCTTCTGGCGTTCAGCTCTCAATAGGTGGTCTGGTAGGCATAATTGTTGGATCATGCGCGGGTACGGCGCTTATTGCTCTTCTTATAGGGTATCTGTTTTTCCGTCACCGTCAGTCTTTCATTGGTAACGATCGAGTCAACCTTGAAATTTACAAATAATGGTGGCGGATATGACGCGTCGATATCTCGTCAATCTGAGATCGATCTTTGGTACATTTGATCCACCTGATAAAAACATTTGTAATTTTCTGAATTCGAAATCAAATGCAAATTGTGTCATATCGTATACAGTGATATCTACACATTAGCACACCAATAATCATAACCTCATGTTTATATTTAACCTGGACTCTGTATAAGCATGAATTTATGATTATTAATCGGAAAAAAAATATGATTGTGTCATAAAATTCAGTTTTGCACACTAAATAAAAATGAGTCGGCCAATTTAGGTCGTGATTTCCCAGCGTTCAATGATCCGATTCCACGCAAATGCTGGCATTGAATCATCTCGATTAGTAAATCGAATGGTAGTATTTTTGCTCGAATTGGACCGCTAGACGTCGAGATATCGATATTGCGTTACGTCCTAAAGTGACCGGGTTCTATTTTGAGGCATCCAAAATTGAAAAAATAAAGTTTTTTACCGATAATCAATTTGACAATGAAGGTACACATTTAATAGATTTTATTAAATAAAAGCTATTTAAATTTTTGTTATATTTTTATAAATTTATAATCAATAATGTGCTTATGCGTGTATAAAGAAATTGAAAAATATGAGCACTCTATATATTTGTAATTATACGTTATTTCAATGTGCCCACCTGCGTGCTTATATAGAGATATGACTTGTAGCCAGAAGTATTATCTGTAACTGTGTTGTTATTTTATGTTGTCTGGTATGATAATAATGATTTCATATTAAAAAATAATTTTTGAATCACAGCTTAAAAACACTGAAATTGAATCTGAAAAATTAAAAATATTAAACAAAATTAATAGATTAGTTAGTAGATCATGCTGCGCTACCTTACTGCGCCACGATCACCCGATTTTTGCCAAGAGAAATCACATGATTCTTTGAGTTATTTTTGCTTTAGAGAATAGTTTTTCATAGAAATTTTACTAGATATATTATTCTTTTTATATTCTCATTTATAATATTTATTTCTATATTTATATATCTATAAATATCTTCTAAAGATATTATCATATTAAGTATTATATATTAATAATTATTTATTTAAAGATATTATATTTGTTCTGTAATTTTTAATAATAATCATCATAATAATAAAGTTTAAGTTTTAATAATAATTTTTTATTTGTCTTTAACTTAATTTTCTATATAAATTCTAAATTAATTTCTTACTAATTATCTTGAAATTCTAAAACTTTCTAATAACTTATATTATATAATAAAAAATTATAACTTTAATAGTAATGAAATAGATTTAAATACTACTTATATATATATTATATATTTATATATAAATTTATTATTATTTTCATATATTATATATATTTATATATATATATTTATATATAAACTTATTATACTTATATATATATATATATCTATTTATAAAATATCTAATTCTAGTTTCTCAAGTAAATAATTTCAATAGCTTCTTATTAGTCTTATTATTAATCTTATTCAATAATAGTAAATACTTACAAATACTCTTAATAATAATAATAATAATAATAATAATAATAATAATAATAATGATAATAATTAATTAAATAATAATAATAATTCTTTTATATCAAGAATTTCTCTCAAAATTTTTATATATAAAGAAGAATTATATAAAAATATTAATATCTGAATTTTATAAGTATCTGAAATACTTATTACTTAAGATATTCAAGATAAATAAACTTGTATCCTATATACTAGAACTAATCTGAAAGATACTACTTTTTATTAATATTTAAATAAAATATATATAATTAGAAATAATAATACTTTTAAATTTGAAATAATTTTCTTAATAAAATTTATAGTATATTTTAATTATTTAATTATTAATAATATCATTAATTTTATTAATTTTATTAAATTAATACTATATAAAAATATAAAGTTAAATTTAAAAACCTTATTAATCAAATAGAAGATATAAAAAAAATTAAATTAAGTTATATATTTTATTAATAATCTTAAGTCTACTATAAAAATAAAAATAATATATTAAGTATTAAAAACTTTTATTACTATTTGAAGATTTACTATTTATTATAATACTATCATATTTAATATGAATTATTTACTTAAAAATAATAATAATTTATAATTAAAAATATAAAAGAAATTAGAATTTTTCTTTTTATAATAATACTTATAATCTTATATTAATAGAACTAATTTATATTAAAGATTCTTATTAGTTTAATAATATTAGTAATAATAATAATAATTATAATAAAAATAATAATTAAAACTACTATAATTATAAAAAGTCAAATCATTTTATTAAAAATTATTATTCTAAAGAAAAGACTAAAATAAATAATATTATAATATAATTAGTATTATTTAGAATAATAATATTAAATTTATCTATCTTGAAGATAATTATAAAAAACTTCTTAAATTTTATAACTATATAAATAAAAAGTCTATTTAAATTTTGCTTAATAGTAAAATATTCTAAAATTTTATTAATAAAATCTATATCTAAAATAATTAACTATAAATATATATAATAAATTTTATAATTATAAAGTTTACTAAAATTATAAAAAGAAAATTAACTTATTTATTACTATTAAGAAATTAAAACTAGATGTAACAAAATTAGATTAATAATTAGTAATTATATAATATTTAACTTTTATTTCGCAGATCGTTGCTGCGCCACATACTGCGCCACACGTGACTTACTGCGCCACAATCACCCGATCTTGCCAAGAAAAGTTACATGGTATATTTGAGTTATTTTAGCTATAAATAGTTTCTTAGTAGAATTTCTCTTTTTTCTTGTTCTACTAATTTA